ATGCTAAAGTCTTCTTCTGTCTCTCTCTTACTTTCCATCTCTTCGCAATGAAAACTTAATAAATATTTTCTTCACTTATCTAAGACTTAACCGGCAAATATTGCTGTAAACAAGTATAAGATTTGTGGGATATTTTTATAAAAAAAAAAAATATATATATATATGTACATATATATATATAACAGTGAAACAGTTTGTGCAACCAATTGTTACTTAAACACATTTCTTATTAATTCGAGAGTTAGGGTTAGAGCAGGCACAAGGATGAGCAAAAACTTTTGCAAACGAAATTGTTTATGTAACTCATCCTTTAAATAGTAGAAGTTATAGGCAATGTTGTTGCATCTAAAAAACCCGTACATTTAATTTTTACAACTACTCATGTCTCTTAAAGACATCTGCCCGTAATTGTCCGGCAAACTTTCGCGCAAAAAACTTTTGCTGCAAATAAAGTAAAATGGCGATGGAAAATTTTTATTTTCTTTGATGAAAAAAAAAAAAAAAAAAAAAAAAACAAGTTCTCATACGGAAAACGAATATTCAGTAACTGGAATATATATTTTAGCCATTTTTCTTAATCGATTTGATCAAAAAATTTACGATTCTCTTTCATATATCAACATATTTACTACCGTAGAGCATATTGGCTTTGATTTTGCGGTATATGCAGGACGACTGACTGCATGTCATAAAGCGTATAATAAGTATATAATGAAATTAATTTAAAATTTTCGCTTCATTTATTTTCAGGCTCTCTATAATCATTTATCTGTACGTTCTCGGGTTGCAATCATTAGAAATTTTTTGTACGAAAAATGTCCGCAAAAAGATATAAAATCATTTGGAAATTGATGGGAAAATCGTGTAAGAAATCAATGTGAATTTTGATTATACTTCAGCTCGGCTTAATACTTAACGATAATGAAAATGTTTCAAGTTTTTGCCATCCCAACGCAATTACTATGATTCGAACAAGTTCACGAGATTTGTGGACTTCATTTGTATGTATGCATGGTTGCCTATGTGGGAAAAGTTTATTTTTTATATCCACCACTACTCATTTTGTTTTTTCATAACGTATGTAACACCCAAAAGGAAGCTTCAGAGACCCTATAAAATATATATATCAACGTGATCAACGTGAAATTTTGAGTTGATTTAACCATATCTGTCCGCCTGTGTGTGAGTGCGGTGTATGTTGTTGGCACTTTCCTGGTCGCAAATATGCAGATAACGACTTAAAATTTGGTAGAAACATTGAAAACAGGCCAAATTGATCGGGGCAGAAGCCTGCTGGGGTGGAGCGTAAAGTGAACGCAACTCAGTTTTTTGTAACAAAAATTTGGAAATTTTTGCTCCTTACCGCAAAATTATACAAGTTAGAAGGGTGCAATTTTCAATATTTACCTTACGCAGCACTCTCCTTACTCCTTACCTGTGAAAATGGAAAACATCCATCACGCCCACACAAACTTACACTTAATTAAATTTTATATTTTTTTCCACTTTTTTGAGGTTTTTTGTCTATTTATCATAAGCCATATGAGACTAAATGTTTTGAAACTATTTTGTACACCCCCTGAAGTGAAGATATAATATATTATTTGTCTAAAAATGGGTTCATATGGTAGGCATCGCGATTACATTTTTCTTAATAATACTTGCGCTATGAGTATCAAATAAAAGATCATGGCAAGTAGATTACGAAACGTATAGTGATGGGTATGCGAGATTCGGCCCTTGCCGAGTATAACTTTCTTAGCTGTTTTATCTTAATTATTCACATATTGAGAAATGCAATATAAATGGACATAAATAAATCAATTCCGAATATATTCTTATGCTGAAATCATAAGGAAAGATTGTGGCTTTAAAAACTGATTAAAATTTCGTTCTTCAAAGGACATCTCATTACGTAAAGAAATAAATTCGAGCGGAGCTTAACAACGTTAAGCTAACTTTAGCTGTTTTAAATACGCTACAAATCATTGTAAATCTGTTTGAATTTTATGTACTTAAATGTGTGGGTGTATGGGTGTTGGTGTGTGTGTGTGTGTGTGTGATGAAATTATGTTTACAAAAAATTTTGAAAAATTAAATGTTTGACGATTTTCTTAATAATTGATATGAAAAGTCAGTCAGTCAGACATGGAATGTTTAGTCTTTACCTGACGACCGGTAAATCTGATTAAAACGCGAGTGATTTGCGCAAATAACCATTATGTCAACTATTAAATCATTAATTTATTAACAATCAGGCAAACGGCACTTAACCGGATTACATTTGTATGCCCGGAGCGATTGATATTTGTGATAAATACACTTTGACTGCAATAACAACAAAATATAGGATATATGCTAAAATAAAAACAAGTAAAAAAAAATTATAAATTTCGGTTTTGACCGAATCTATTCCACCCAACGCCGTTATTATTCCAAAAAATTAAAGAAGAAAAGGAAAAAACGAATCCCTCTAATACTCTACAATATCGATTAGGCGTGGCCAATTCCCTCTACTTTTCGAAAGCTTCCAAGTCATAATATATACGTTCAAATTTCTATACAGATTTATCTACTGCGGCTCGCGTGTAATGAGTAATGAGTTTTTGTCGGTTTGGAAAACAGAAGGATTCTCAGTTCGATCGAGTTTGTCCAATTTCAATTCCAACCAAATGTTTCTGCCATGCAAATGTTTTGGGAAGCTGATAGTTTCATTTTTGCGGCCAGGAGCACATTTAAAGCAGACACCACACAGGCTGTCAGGCGGAGAGACGGATAGGCTTAAATATCGATTCAGAATAGGATACTGATTAAATGTATATAAATATATTTTATGGGGGTCTATAAACCTTATTTCCGGTTGTTGCAAACGCCTTGACAAATGCATTCATCTTTTGCTGATGGGTATAACAGCAATAAACTGGCTTGCTTTACGCAGGCAACCCTCAAAACTGTGAACATTTGCCTCATGAGGATATTCAGCCGATGTGGATAAATACAAGCACACGCACATATATACATATACACATATATACGAAAGGTTGCTTTTACGTCTATCGTGTTACGTTGAAAAGGCTGCGGATGAATATGAATTTGATGTTAGGGAAACAATTGTTATAACACAAAGTAATAAAGCGATGGAAAGGGAAGGGTAAAAAGGGATAAACTTTCATATTCGCATACGCATTTAGAAGAACCTTTTTCTAACCCCATTTATTCGTTCCTTCTATTTGAGCGCAATAGCATTGAAATTACTTTCTATATTAATAGTCAGTTACGACTGCTTGAAAGCAGTCATGTTGCGGAAATATGTCTCTTTCAACAAAATATTTTTATATATCTTTGCGCGCCATCAGTGCACGTTATCGCTTTTTTGCGTCTTGCTTATGCTACATTAGTTTGAGTAAATTTAAAATTGTGTGAATTATTATTCTATCTGACTTCACTCTTTTCTTTACTCATCGTTTATCACCGTCCGCTAACCAACATTTACGACCTCTTGTGTATCCGGTATAAACTATAGTATCCTCTTTGACTGATATACTCTCTCAACTATCTACCATTGTTCCTTTTCGCCCTTTGTACGATATTTGTGCTCGCATTGCATGGATATGACGCTTAGTGAAGCCTATTTTCTAATCAAAGCCAACACAATAGTTGCAAGAGAAACGTCAAAAGCGCTTTATTCAAGGTATTGTCCATCGTTGCCTACACACTTTCCCCATCTCTCTCAGATTAATTGAGAACTCAGTCTGTAGGGAATATCTTTTGTTTTAACGTTATAAAGGTACAATAAACTGTACTTTAAAAAAACAAAAAAAAACAAAAAAAATATTTTTTCATTCTTTTCCGCCGAAAGTCCGCATGAACATGTTATGAATAAACCAAAATTGGAATTGCGAATGAGTTTTATAAGTTAACGCAACGTGGCGGAAAGTTGATTTTTTCCGATACAGATATTTTGACAATTTATACTCAATGTATTTCAAATTTCACAATTTTACGGGTAACGTGACCATATCGAGTATTATTTATTACACGAATGGCTAATATGTGCGTTGTTTGGAAGTCCAAAAGGATTTACAAATTAATTACTAAATCTTTTTGAGACAAGTTTTTGTATTTTCAACCCAAACTATTGAACGTAAGTTCAGAAGAGGCAGATACTACCCCAAGACGTTATAAAACTTACGGGATAAGAAGAGCATGACGCAATCTCTATATGATGCGCAAAGGTAGATACATATTAGTAGAAAAAATCCTCCGTAATGCATCATATACTTTACCGCATACTAAAGGCCAAAGATCACTGTGCTACTCAAATGAAAGACCACTTCAAGCGTACGTAGTCGTGCCGACAAACACACTCAAATTCAAGATTTTCAAGATGAAAGCTAACATGGGGAGAAAGATCGTCAGCAGGACTAAAAAATTCTCTCAGAGCGAGTTATCAGAAGTCCACTGCATAATTCGGATTTTTAAAAATCAACAGTAATTACTTTATACCAATGAAGTGTCCAAACACTATTACAAAGCGAGGTTTGTCCAGACATTTTGAAAATTGCACATTTTTTTCCATATAACGACTTTTTAAAATGGGAAATGGTCGAAAAAGTGGACCAATCCAAACCATTTTGAATAGAGTTTGTCCTTGGGTCAAGTTGCGTTACTGTACGAAATTGCGACCTGTAGTTTCAATACAAACAGATATCACATGGACGGACACGCGGTAATACGTGTAAACTTAGTGCTACTACACTAGTACGACAGTGTTGTAGACTTTTAGAAATTTCTTGTTATGATATTAATCATGATGAAATGTGCATTTTGCTTTCAAAAATCAATTTGGAACCACAATATATATGTGTATAAAAGGCAATAGGCTATAATGCTCATCGTCTTTATTATACGAAATTTATTAAAACATTAGTAACATATAATCAACATTAGAAAAAATATATAAAAGCAAAAAAAAAAAAAAAAATAAAAATAAAAATAATTTTAAACGAATGAAAAAACTGCTAAAAATGTGCATAAAAATTCTCGTCTTGATCGGTTGTTTTCTTGTTGGAGTGTTCTTTATCCTCCGCCTCGTAGCTCTTAATTTTTTAGCGTCGGAGCATATTAGTCGAGCTTTTAAAATTTTCTACACGTTCGGTCTTCGAGCGGAGCAACTCGTCAACTTGCGCTTTATTTTCTAAACACATGTGCGGAGACCCCTTATCGCCAGCCGTGATTATTACTTTACTTTTGTAATAACAAATTTTGAAGGAACCCCAACCTTCCAATTTTTCTTTGGCGTAATTCAACAGCGAATTGGTATCATCATCTATATATTCACTGATAAATATCGAACCGTACTTGGGATGATTTACGAGCGTGGATTTATTCTGAAGAAAAATGTTTTTGATATTTTCGTTTTTAAATTGCACTTGTAAAGTAACTTTTTTTGGCAAACGTTGGTTTACATCATGGTTTTCGTATAGACGCACAAAAGATATATCATCAGCAGATAATTCGAATTTCATGGCTGAAGCCAAACCCAGGACAACATACTTCAATGGATGGCGTACGTATTTCGAAGGAAAATACCTTATTAAAGCGCTGCGCAAATATTTACTGATTAATTTTTCTTTAGGATTTTTAATTACATTTTCCTTTTGCTTTTCCTTTTGTTTTGCAGCATTATCAATCGGTTTTTTAGATTGCTCTACTTTTGTAGCGCCGCATTGATCGATCAAACATTGAAGCTTCATATTATCAATCGATAGTTGGGTCGAATTTGAAATTTCCTTAAGCAATTCGTTAGTTATAAGCTCTAGTTTTCTTTCCAATGTCTTTGCTTTATGTTTCATTGATAAATCGGGGCATGTTGCTGCCGCTCCTACGCCCTTTATAATATTCTTAAGTGAAGAGATTTCGTTTTGTTTTGCCTCGGCTCGTTCAAATAAACGTTTGTTTTCCTGATTAGATTCTTTATTAATTTTCACGGCTTCCTCATACTGATTTTGTAAAGATAAGAGATTTTTTTTGTAATTGCGATTTGCGGAAATCTTATCATTTAATTGATCGATTTCGCTCTTGGCAATTGTGTACTGTTCTTGTAAACTCACAAAATTATCTTTGCTAGTTTTTATTTTAGTTTGCAGTTCCTTTATCACATCGGTTTCGTTATCATCAAATTCGAGGAACAATATCTGGATATTTTGACAATCGATTTGGCATATTGGACATTTTGTAGATCTGAAATTGCGAAATAAGAATAAGCGAATAACGGATTTAGACCCATTCCCAACATTCACCTAGTACGCAAGTCCCGAACACAATCAGAATGGAATACATGGCCACAGCGTGTGCTGCGCACCTCATCGTCCTTTGCAAAATTTTTGGCACATTTAGGGCAAAAAATAGCAGGCGCTAGTGGCATGGCTGCGGCTATTATCTAAAAATGAAAACAAAAATAGAAAAAAAAGAAAGAAAAATGAATTCGCAATCACACTATTCATATGGAAAATAACTATTTTCGTACATAATTATTTACCAATAAAAAATTTTGCACACTTGCGAGAAAAAATATGGCTACCTTTTTATAGAATTCAATTCGCAAACTCGAAAGCGTCGAAAGTGTATTAAGAAACAGTAACGAGCAACAAATTGGAACGAATGAAAAACTATCCCATTTGACATCTGTCTGTTTTGAACGAGTTCAAGAACTACTTTTCGCTTGTTGTATTTTTGCGTAAGGTCACTACAAAAAACAGCTGATTATAGGCTTGCATTTCATATTTGTCTTTAGTAAAAGAATTTGTCATGGAAACAACACTCTCGTGGGAAAGACTTGGGCCGAGTACAATGTATTCCTCCTCCTCTCAAATAAATCATCAATAGCGAAGCAAATTAAAAAAAAAAAACAAAAACACCTTTGGCATTTACCAGACGTAGAATCATGATCAATTCGCGTATACATGCTGGGTTTTTATATCATTTTGACGAGACACCGAAGGAACGGTGTCAGTTTACTAAAACTTGAGGATAGACCATAAAACCTACTTATGCCTGCTTTCGTGTAGGATGAGAGAGACTTCTATGCTAAGTTTGTCTCGATATTCCTAAGAAGAAATGCAGAAATCTTGGAATCATGTGTGCGCGGGCGTCCGCTAACAAAACTGTAGCAGGCAAACACAAAGAGAGAAAATGAAAACATAAACATATGAGCCGGATTTGCAACAATCTCATGAGTGATCTCACGATCTCGTTCTGTATTATATAAATTTATTTATTTATTTATTTTTTTATTTTTTGCTTGTACCTTACCAAAGTGTTGTTGCAGACATTAATAAGCTGAGTTATCTTTTTAACGGCTATCGGCTCGGTTCAGAGATAAGCTCCCATTTAATAGGTAACTGTTTAATATGATAGATAGGTTTTCAAAATTTAACGAACACAATTTTGTTTTTTGGTTTTCGTCCTCATTGCTTGGGCAGGCCATTTCCGCATTCGGACTCGTAGAAATGTGTATACCATGTTTCATTGAGCTTTTAAACAAAACGCATTTGTCCGATGGTGGTCGAGAGTACGCGAAGTTTACAAGATTTGCGGCACGTACTGTATTGCAAATGATGTAACGATAATAATGTGCCCTCCTGAGCTGGATATTGATGCGAAGGACATCACGGGCATGTATTTGTGTAGCTTGAAAATGTGACAAGCATAAAAAGGGTAAAACTGTAAAAGAGGTATTATAATAATAATAATAATAATAATAATAATAATAATAAATAAAAAAAGCACACCGAAGCAACAATTTAAAGTGTCAACAGGAGACAGTAGAATTGCGCTTTCTGACGCCATGTTTTACAGTAAGAGTTTATGTATCTGGTACACAAGAAATCTTTCAAGTGTAGATTGCTGGCGTTGGCTGGATTCTGTCTCTCTTCTCTCTCTCTTCTCTCAACCATTTTTTTTGTTTTGTTGGCGACTGTTGATAATTTAAGTTTAACATTCTTAATGTAAAGAAAACCGTAGGATGTTGTCTGTGGCGGAAAACATAATTATAAACAATTGCTATACATTGTATATAAAGAGAGTATGAGAGTAAAGACAAATGCGACACTTTGTAGTCACAATGTATACTTAAAACATAATATTATATAAGCAGACACCTTACCAGGGGGTAAACTTACCAGACAACCTATATCATTAAAAGAAAGTTCAAACATACATTGTTATATATACATGTATACGTAGATATGCATTCGCTTCAAAAATCGCTAACACACTTTTACCTTAAATATCTACGTTACACGCTTTACTTCATTCCGTGCTTTCAAACTCATACATGCAGACACATAACTGTGCCCTCCCTGTACATCCTGGCATTAAATGTGCGTTAGGATCATTACCAAACATTGAAAATTGCGTTCGGCTACATTTATTTCCACTCTTAACTTCCGGTTTCCGCACCAAAAACAAAATAACATTTACAATCTATCCGATGGAGTTTTAAAATAGATGGAATTATATCTAAATAAAATAACAACTAAAGACCTTTAAATCATAATAATAATTATATAACTCCCAATATATTTGTATTAAGTAATGCAGAAAAATGATGAACGATAGCATTGAGATTTATAAATGAAAGCAAAGTTTTCTCTAAAAGTACGCAAGTCACTTTGAAGGCCGAAAATCTTGCCTGCTATCGACCACATTATTTTCTCATGAGATATTTTTGAACAAAGTCTATGCTAAAAAAAAAAGCTCCTAGTTGGTTAAGCAATCGTTTCGATAAACATAAATTTTGAGATGTAGATGTCCATCCCGGACTATTATTAGGGAAAAATAGTCGATTGACTGAAGAGTTTTTTTTTTTTTTTTTTTTTTTTTTTTTTTTTTTGTAAAATTTTGCATAATCCGAAATCAAACGGAACCATTTCTCTTATTCTAGACACTGCTGGCGTGTTGCAGAATGTTCATCAACTTGAATTTATTCATGGGTGAAAACAAGAACAAATTTCATATATATATATAATGATTACCATTTGAAATTGATGGCATTGCCAATAAGATGTTGGCGCTTACTTATTCAAAACTGCTCGATGAAATCTGTCAATCACGTTACTCGAACTGTTCGATTAAGAAGTTAACTGAGTACCCGTCCTTTCGAAAATCAACGCCAATTATATCGTACACAGAGTCAAAAATAGATAAAATTCACAAACTATCATAAAACCTACGAAATATGCCATATATTAGGAAAAGAGGAGAACAATTTCAAGTTGTGGACTTGTTATGAATGATAATAGTGTTACGAAAATCCCAAATCCACTTAATTTCAGCTAAGTAATTTTCCCTAATAATAAATTCCCTAAAGAAGGAAAAACGAAAGAAGCATTCGAAGGCGCCTCATGCAGCTGCAGGCCGATGAAAACGATTAGCGGAAAAGTAGCCTGGGATTAGAAATAAAACCATAAACTTAGGTGTAGAATTTGTGGCAAGGGTTTAACGTGGGTTCCTGCCTGAAAGGATTAACCCCACGGTGGCCCAAGCCACTTTTAAGCGTACTACGCCCCCTGGTGAGTTAGACAATCCCCACAGAGTAGGGGCCTAAACAGTACCAGAATGATTTATTGCGTATGGATCAATAAACCCCACTCTGGTCAGTGGTGAGGCCTAGCTGCACTCGATTGTTCCACTTTAGTTTTGGAACTGCCAACCACAACCACCACGAGTACTCCCCGAAGGGCCGCACCCAAGCAGTCAGGGCTCACAAATTGATCAACGTTATGCGTTCAAAAAAGGGAAGAATTGCGCTCGCTTCCACCATAAGATTTCCACTGTGCTGTTGATCAATTACCATCATTACCCGCAGGCATCCGTGACATATGCTCGAAAGTATGTTAGGCAAAAGGGGAAAAAGCCTTCCGTCAAATCCCTTTTTAATAATATTTGCATGTATTACTTCTCAAGAGGGTTTTTTTTTTATTAATAGGCCAAAGGGGAAGCCATCCGTCAATTCCTTTTTCGTATCATAAATATTCTTGAGAAAAATTCTTATTCTCTTACGACTTTTTGAACAAAGTTCCATCATATACCCGCAGGCATACGTGGCTTTGTGAGACAAGCCTCCTGACCCCCGTGGCTCCTAGTTTATTTTACAAAGCCTTTGGTATACTTTGGGCGGTTGTCAAACAACCGCACTTGCCTTCGGATTCTCCATACATCTTGGTTAGCCAACTCCAGGAACTACTTTTCTTCGAGATATATAGGTGTTGGGTATTGCACTGACATGGCAGGGGCGATTTTCCATGCACTCGCTAGATTACTACCTTCTACGTACTTAACCCATTCAGAAATTTCCTAGGTAGTAACTAGCTAATGAGTGAAGAGTTAATCTTCCAACCAACCCCTCCACCATCTCTCACAAACTTGTCGCGGAGTTAGTAGCTCAAAACCTTAAACCCTTCTTAGCCGGCCGAAGCCGTTGCCCGGGGATCACCACTGGGAGGTTAGGGTTTCGGCCATCTATGCTCCCCATTAAAGCATAGTTTATCTCCCCAAATTTAGGTATAATAAGATGCTTGTAAAAATGTATATATGAAGGGAGAATTCGTCGGGCAGAACATTTGAGTTGAGAGTACGGCCAAAATAAATTGTGAATAATCCTAACTGTAAGAAATATAATTATAAATAAATACTCCTACTGTTGCGAAAGACAAAGTAGTAAAACAAAAGAACTTTGAAGTGTATTTCTCTTGATCAAAATATCCACGATCCAGTGATACGGACTGTATCTTAGTAAAAGCGAATTTCATAACCATATGTTTTTAACTGTACTTCTTAACAAGCAGTATGCTCACGGAAGACAACAAATCCAAGGAATTTACATTAATATAAGTCATCATTCCGCTTAGAGAAATACCGTCTCTTCACTTAATTAAAAGGGCTTGCGGCCTAAACGAGATAACCATGGGTTAGTAGAAAGTTTCGTATCAAATAAATGTCGAAAAAAATATTGAATAATTAAAAGCAAGAAATTTGTAGAATTGTCAAACTGCTATCAGCATGTATACATATTAATCCCTGATTCTTTCTTGTACGAAATTATTGTAGACATTTACATTAATTGCAATCAGTTGTTAGAGTGTCTTCATGGATGACATATAAATCATAAATAACTAAATATATAGTAGAAATTTCGATTTCCACTATATTGCTCCTTTGAAGCTTATCATATCTTGTCCTATATTAAGCCAAAATATTCCATATTTTGTGCAATGGATATAAAAGAACCCTTGTTGGAATGTATCATAACGTTGAATGTTGAACGTTAATTAGCCCCTATATACTTATCGGTTGATATAAATAAAAAGTGTCAGCAGCGTGTCGGTCATTAGATTTATCAGACGCAACCAGTTAGAATAAATAGGCTCTAGCTCAGAAGCCTTAATAATAATAATAATAATAACTATTATACAATAAAGCAAAAAATTTGTATAAAATTTCTTAAGGAACTACTACTTGTAACCATAGTCAGGTTTTCAAGTTTTTAGCTTTCTCTCTTCGTTACAAAAGTCAAAGGCAAATTGTACTTACCACAAACTTATATAATTATTTACAATTGCTAGTGTTTTACAAATTAATTACTATGAAAGCAAGACTTAAACAAACAGAAAAACAAAAAAAGCGAAGAAAAAGAATGTAATTAAAGAAACTAAAACTCAAAGGAAAAAGCTTTGTGTGCCCGTTTTAAAGAAAATTAAAAAGAAAAAGCAGGGATTAATAGAAAAAATTGAACAAAAAAAAAATAATAAATAAATAAATAAATAAATAAGTAAATAAATAAAAAAGTGAAGAAAGTCGCTTTAACGCGAATCTTTGATACCCAGTCTTCTATTGCAAGGCAATGCAATATTTGGATTGCATTGGATTTAGGAAATATTTTTGTAATGGCATTTATAATGAATCACCTGGGCTTACGTGGTCTTCGTACAGTTCAAAATCATATTTGCCATCTATT